TGATAAACAAAAATTAAAATTCAATTGCTTAATTTTTTCTCGTTTGTTGCTCGTACAATTTAAGAAGACTAGTAGCAACATTAAAAATATATATATTTTTATTAAAAAAGTTCGTTGCAAGTGTCGCATATAAAAATTAGTAAAATCATAGTCTACAATTAGGCGCTAGCGCATGTCTAGCATAGTGGTTAAATATATGTATATATATCGAATACAAATACAGTTAATGGCAAAGTTTTTACAATTCATAACGTTATTCTTTGTGGCAGCCACAATATACATACGTGCCACACGTCGCTTGCGGGTTGGTGTTTTCGCTTCTAACATATTTTTTTGTGAGAGTCTCTTGAATTTTGTTTTTACATATGCATTTGTAACGGTTTTTTCTTTTCTTGCACGTCGTGCTGCTGCAATCGTGCGCGCACAAAGAACCACGTTACAAACATTACTACAATTTACTTTATTTTTTTTTTAATTATATAAAATTACGTTAGGTTCATTTGCTTGCTTTGCTTTTGTTGTTGTGTTTTTTTTTTACAATTACAAATTACAAACGAAAATTTCGCTTAAGTAAGTGCGTCCTTAATTACAAAATTGTTAATTGCACCTATACTAGGTATACAGCACAATATCACTGGTTGTTTGCTCGTATGCTAGTTCGAAAAAAACAAAAACAAAAAAAAAATAATAATATTTATATATAAATATAGTGTATACCTACTAAATGTAATAATAATAAGGTTTTGTGTGTTCAAAGCAAAAATAACGGAGCTACATACACAACACATACGCAGATATGTATGCAAGTATGTGTGCCTAACTCATTTTTCGCCTCGAAAACGTTCGTTTTTTATATTTGTTGTTTTTTGTTTGTTTTTTGTTTTGTTTTGCATAGTTTTCTTCGTCTTTTGTCTCCATAATTCCATAATGTTTCATTGTGGTTTTGGCACCGGGATTGCAGATTCATTTAAGTTCACTAGTCTTGCTTTGTGTTTGTGTTTGAGTGTGTGTGTGTGTGTTTGTGCGTGTTCCTTATCTGCTGTGTTGTATGCGTAAGCGTTTATGTTTAGCGATTATTTCATCTCTTCCGGCCGGTCGCCACGACAGCCATCACCTGCTGCATCGTGGGCTCGGGCACGCACGCCTGAGGATCACATTTCATCTTTCCATCGCCGCCGCAACTGCACATATATTACAAAAACAAAAAGAAATTGATAGATGTCATCACATCGGTTTCACGCTTTGGCAAGTAGCAATAGAAAATAATGTAAATAATCAAAATTCAGTACTCACGTGCAATTGATGCAGGGACCGCTCGTCGATTCGATCTTCTCGCCAACCTTGTAGGATCGGCCGTTGATCAGACAGCCGTTACGTTGCACCGCACCGCCATATGAGTGGTGCAGGAAGTGTGGCGGCAGTGTTGTGCTTGTCGTTGTCGTACTGGTGGTGATATTCAGTACGGTTGCCATCGACACGGGACATTCGTATCGTGGACAACAGAAACCAGAGATCGGTTCCTCGTGACAGCCGGCAATTGGTGGCGGACAAGATTGTTGCAAGCAGATAATGTCGCTTCGGAAACAGAAGCAGAAATCGCAGGGATCGTCGCGTGGTATTTGCTGTGCGGACACGTAAAGTTTACCGCCATAGCGACAGGTGCCAGGACCGAAGACCTCAGATTCGTCTTCGTCGGGATATTCATCGTTGTAGGATGGATATTGGCCGTATGCGGGCGCCGGTGGTGGATAGTGTGTGATGGTTGGTTGTGTTGTAACGAGCACATCACTGGCGATGAGATTTGTGGGTGTGGTGGTTTCCATAAGAATTTCGGGTTGCGCAGTTGTATTGGCGACGACGTCAACTCTGCTGTCGATAGCTGGCGTTGGCAGTGTAGTAACAATATGTGGGTATAGCGGATGCACAGTTGTGATGCCTTGTTTCTCTTCGGAACTGACTTCAGCTTCTTCTTCAGATGTTTCTGTCTTCTCAGTGGAGCTGACGGGCACTGCTTCTTCAGGAGTGTGTTGCTTATCGCTTTCTGTTTCGGAGACCGGTTGCACGGTTGCGATTTGTTGTTCTTCGGCAATATCGGCTTCTGGTTTAGTTGCTGTTGGCTGCTTCTCCGCTTCCGATTCAGCTTCTGGCGTAGGTGGTACTGATGCAGTTTCTTTGTCCTCATCGACTTCACCTTCCAGTTTGCTCGTCGCTGATTCTTTTTCGAGTTCGGATTCAGGAGTGGCTGTTGCAGGAGTCTTTTCTTCTTCAGATTCGATCTGCGGTTTAGCTGTTGTTGGTTGTTGTTGTTCGATTTCAGGAGCGGCTGTTGCAGTGATCTTTTCTTCATCAGATTCGACCTGAGGTTTGGTGGTCGCTGCTTGTTCCTCTTGGGATTCAATTTCAGGTTTTATTGTTGCAGGTTGTTTTTCTTCATCGAAACCGACTTCAGGAGTGGCTGAGTCTGGGTACCCAGGCTTAGCTGTCGCTAGTTGTTCTTTCTCTTCGGATTCAATTTCAGGTTTAACAGTTGCAGGTTGTTTTTCTTCTTCAGATTCGATTTCAGGAGCACCTGTTGCTGGGATCTTTTCTTCATCAGATTCGACCTGAGGTTTCGCTGTCGCTGATTCTAC